TATATATATATATATATTGTTGTGCCCCAGCTGACTGCTCTATCCACTAGCATGCAATTCTTCTTTTAAGTGTGAAGTGTGTAATATTTAAATTTTAGTAGAGAGCGCTCACTTTCTGAAAAAAGACTTTAGATGGAAGAGACATTTTAAATGTTAATTCTCATTACTGTATTTAATAGCTCTGAAGTGGAGCTTTAAGGTGAACAGACAGACTTTGTATGGTCATAAGCTACCCTGTCATTGTGAAGTTAATTGGACATATTGGAAGACAGGAGGGTGTAGTTTTAGGTACATTTACAGCATGATACTTAATGTAAAGCGTAAGACTGTATTTACAATTTTTATACAGTAATAGACATTTGAACTGTTAATCTACAAAATTCTGGATACATTCCTAGTTGCTACTGAAATACTTCCTTTATGAAGTTTCTGTTAATTTATATACAGACAGATTGGACAGATTTATGCTGTCTGATGTAAACGTTACGAGAAGCAGTGATAAGCTATGTTTGTCTGTCTATATGGCTTGTTAATCTCACAAATCCTTTCTAAGATGGCTCTATTGCAGTTGATGCTACTTGGAAGAACTCACTTATGCAAATTTCCCAGGTACTTTGTAATGAACAGAATCACTGATTTCTGTTTGGGTTAACAAGTATTTGAATTACCAAGCTTCCAGTTTTGCTGTTTCAGCTTCTCCATCTTCAAAGACACAGAGAGAATTTAGATTTGCCGTGCCTATTTTGCTGTTCTGAGTAGTTCTGAAGGAGACAATGCTCTTAACTTTTGATCAGAGAAAGGGTTGCTACAAACTAAGAGAGTCTTATTTGCTTCTAGGTGTCTGGAGATGAAAAAAAAAAAGCAAGTTAGGGGAACTGTATTACGGTGAAGTAAGATGGAGAAGAAAGGGATATTATCCAGTTGGTTTTATTAATAGATACTAAATTCATTTCTGGATAAAATTTATGGCAGGTCTTAATCTGTATTTTTTAGAGCTCATGTATCTCACAAAGAAATGAAATAAAATTGCTTGAAGAAGTTGAGAAGTGAGCTCAGAAATAATAAGGTGCTTCGAAGAACTTTCATTGAAATATCAGGAAAAATACAGTTTGTTCTGACACGTAGCAGATTTTAAGTTTAAGAAATTATTAAGCCTCTGGTTCTGTGGCTGATACAAGTTAAACGTCATACAAAAGCTGCTCTGCCTGGTTTCCTGAGAAGCAGAGATCTTGCTGTGCTGTTCTTAATTGCCTCCTAAGTAGGAGTATAATGTTGTACTATAGAGGTGACCCCTCTTTTGCCTCTTCTGTTGTCAGACACTTTGGGGAAGCAGCCACTTGTGAATAGAAGTTGTTTATGCGAGATTAAGGTTAGTGAACCTTTTGTTTAAAGATCCTTATTAATATTTTTTAATCTCTTTCAGATGTTGCTTATCTTTATGAATCCTTAAACACAAAACATGATGCAACTCAAGAACCAGTAGGTAAGGAAGTAATTCAAGATCCATGAAGAGGAGCTAAGCTCCAATGACATGTAATATTTTTGAGAGAGTTTGATTCCTTGGAATTTTGAAGCCATGATGTGGTGACTGTCACATGGATCTTTTTCTTTTTCCCCTTCCAACTGTAGAAGTTAATGCAGAAAACCAATGCCATGTGACCAAAGATACCTCAAGTACAGGAAGAAGTAATGATGAGACCCAAATTACCTCATCACCGTCAGCTACTCAGTCTTGCTATGAGGAACCACAGCCATCTACTTCTACATCTAACCTCTTTAATGCTTCTTCTACCTCTCTTATTGAGTCAAAAAAAAACAGAATAATCCTTCTACATCTGGTAAGAATTGTCACGTACTTAAAGTTTCATGTCCCATCAAACTATTACTCCAGTTTTGAATTTTAACAGATGAATCTCTTATCCTATTTGGGTCTTTAGTGTTTGCTTTGTAAAATTCTAGTCGAAATAGCAGGTGAATATGTGCATTTTAACTTTCTCTGAGTAGGCAGGGTAAATCCTGGTGGATGAGTAAGGCAATTGTGAGATTTGCTTATGCTCAGAGGGGCAGAAGATGCACATAAATCCCAGACCGTTCTAACTTTATGGTTTTGTAGTGGAGCATTGGTGAAAACTTGACAAACCTATGTGGCTCATAGAACAAAGTAAGTAGATAGGAGTGCTTGTGCTCATGCAGTCACTCTGAGAAACTAATTGTCACTGTTACTGCTGCCAGTCACCAGTCCACTTTCACTTGCTTAGAGCTCTAAGGCCAAAATATACCACATGGACTGCTGCTCGAGTATCTTGCATTACACTAGCAAGTGTAATACCACAATGCTGCATAACTCTTAGAGTAGAACTAGAGCAAGAGCATCTATCTACAAAATGGCATTTTCAGCAGTTCATTGAGACTTCTCCCAGGTCTTCCCCCCAGGTCTTCCAATTAGTCAGATTGGCTCAGAATGCATTTAGTATAATTATGCAGACATTGCGGTTTTGCTCCACTTTTTCCTATTCAGATGTTTGGACTGATGTGTGTGGATCATCAACGTTTGAGTAGCTTTTTGTTTTCACATGTCCTATATATGTATACAGCTATGTTCATGTTTCTGTTTTTATTTTGCAGGATCACAATCCTCAGCTTTCACTCCTGTGCCTGCTTTCCCCATCTTAGGATCTGTGTGTCTAGGAGCACTGCATGATGAACATGAAAAGCTGGATATGAATACTGAAACTTCTGCAATCACTTCAGAAATCACTGACAAAGAAAAAGAAGAATCAGATTCTCAAAGGACAGGGGAGGAGGAAGGTTTGGAACCTGCTAAGAAGAAACTAAAAGGAGGTTAATATACCACAGTATTGCACAACCTACCCTGCACTCTTTATTTTAATGTTACTGTTGAAAGTTAGTTTAAAAAACTTAACTAGAAGCTTTAAAGCTATGTCTGTTTTTCATAGAAGCCCCATGAGATTAACAGAAACTTCAGGATCTGTGCTTATTTTTCTTTATAAGTATGAAATAAATTCAAAATGTATACATATCAAACCTAGGAGGTCTTGAAACATTATGATAGTAGGGCATAGGTAACTTTTTTCCTCATCACAATGTTGGTTTATGTTTTAGTATTGTATTAAATAAGAACAGCATAAGTCCCCTCTCCTCCCCCCCCACCCCCCAAATTGAGTCAGGTCAGCTGTCATCAGTCCTTCTTCAATCTGTTTCTTGCTTATTATTGGCTTGATTTCTGGCCCAGGTGAAAATAATGTCTTTAGTAGCAGAAGCTGTTATGTGCAAAGCAAGAACCTTTAGTGGGACTGTTGCCAGTGAACAGTGAATCAGTGTGTATGTCTTTCAGGTCTTTTTTTTTTAACACTCAAAAATTTTAAAAAGCTTCAAAAACTACATACTCTGGAATCTTCTGTCTTTGTAGATGAAGATGCTTGTCCAAATCTTCCACCAGCAGCTCCAAGTGAATGTATAATTAAAATTGGCTCTGAAGATGCAAAAACACCAAATGTGAAACCGGATAAGATGGAAGAAACATTAACTTGCATTATCTGCCAAGAACTGCTGCATGACTGTGTAAGGTATGTATGATTGACAAAAGCTGGAATCATGTGGTAATAATATAAGAAGTTCAGTGACAACTGTTTGAGGAGGACAGGATATTTAGGGTTCTCACAAGCCCTTCTAAGTGTCCCCCTGCCAATCTATATGGTTAAATCAATGTTAAGCAGTTTTTTTGTGTGTTATGAATGTATCTCAAAGATTTGTGTTTTGACTCCATTTCTTTCATTCTTTCAATGTTTGTGTTTTCCAGCTTGCAACCTTGTATGCATACTTTTTGTGCTGCGTGCTACTCAGGATGGATGGAAAGATCTTCTCTATGTCCAACTTGTCGTTGTCCGGTAGAACGTATTTGTAAAAATCACATATTGAACAACTTGGTTGAAGCTTATCTGATTCAGCATCCAGGCAAGTTGAAGAGTGTGTGTGTAACAGAATCTGACGCATTTCACACATTGGCTGTGTAACTGATGTATGCACAAACTGTTGTCTATTAAATTTCTATGTACCTTTTGTTACTCTGCTGGTTTCTCTGACATGGCTGTAATAAAACAAGTGCATTTAATATGACATAATAAGCTGTTGTAATTATTTCAAATAGTGGGTGAGAATTGAAGGTGATTTAATACAATACCTGAGCATGCTAAGAATTCTTAATTTTATTTTGCTACTTAATTATGAGAAGGATATCAGTTTTATCGAGTAGGACATACTGACTGATTAGACCACCTAAAGTCAGATACTTCTGAAAAATATACTTGAATATGGATCTCATTAACTTTGATCGTGGCCTCTTGAAAGTTGCCCGATACTACACTTCCATTAACAGAGTTAGTTCAATTAGTATCTTCTAGAATTCTGTTATCCAAAAGTAAGTTTTATGGAAATGAAAACACAAAAATCATAACTGTTAATAAAGTAGGGTGGGGATAAGGGATGTGAGGTGTTCTTTTCCCTTGAAATTCGAATTTGGTTCTCATGACAGATAAGTGTCGTAATGAAGATGACGTGCGTAGCATGGATGCTAGAAACAAAATTACTCAAGACATGTTGCAACCTAAGGTGCGGAGATCTTTTTCAGACGAGGAAGGAAGTTCTGAAGATCTATTGGAATTGTCAGATGTAGATAGTGAATCTTCAGATATCAGGTATGTCTATTTAAGTTGTGCACTGACTTAGATTTGCTTGTGTTTGAGTGCACAAACCCACAAAGTGAGCTAGTTTCACAAATGCTGTTATTGCTGATAGTGCTTCTGTGATCATTGCCAGAATGAATCTTATTTTAATTTTCAGCTAAGTTCATTCTTACCAGTAATTATCTTGGCAATTCTACTGTCCATCCTACTGAACCTTGAACAGTCAATAGTTAAAACTGGAACTTCCTAGGAGCCCAGCAAGGTTCAGTTTATGACCAACAGTTCTATCCTGAATTGTATGACAGCTTCATGTGAGAGATGTGAAATTCCCTTTTCCAATTACAAATTGGCTGTTGCTTTAGAGAAAATAGGTTTCTGGCTAAGATCCTGACAGGAGCTAAAGCAGTCCATGACCCTATGAGTGCAGCTGCAATGATTGTGCCTTCTTACGTGTCGGGAATGCTGCTTTCACCAGGTGTATGGTACTGAAGCAGCTGATGCTTGACCTAGGGATTCCCAGGCACCAAAATATCTCCTCTTTATTTCCAACAGCAAACATTTTTTGCTGTTATGTCTAGAGGGGAACAGAAGAACCCTTAATGTAGATGATTATTCCAGCTTTGTTCCTCTCTTTCTTGTTCATCTCAGTTCCACTCACACGGTTCTTTTTTCCTTTTCTTTTTATTTTTTTTAAATACTTGAGGAATGCTACAAAATACAAAGTTATTTTCTATTACAGCTACAGGAGTCTTCACAGATATGAGATACCGAGTTATGTAAGCGTCCGTATGCTATTGGATGAAGAAATTACAAATTTAAACTTTGAAAGTATGACCAACCCTGTCTAGCATAGGGATATGAGTTATATTTGCATTTGTTAGGTGTGATTTCCTATGACCTTATTTTATTCTTTCAGTCAACCATATATAGTATGCAGACAGTGCCCAGGCTATCGAAGACACTCTGTTCCAACTCTGCCTGGCACAGGCCAAGAGACAGAGCCAGGAGGAATGCAAGCACTGGGAGATGCACCGTCTACATCTGCCAACTTCCCTGCAGGTGACTGTCATGAAATCTTCAGTAGTGTGATACTAAAATGCTACAACTCATACACCCATTATGAACTAAGCAAGCTCACTCTTATAATACTGTGAGGGTAACACCACTTCACATAGGTGTCTTTGCAAATATCATGAGATTTGACCATGGTTTTTCTGTGGTTGTCCATGGTTGATATTTGTTAAGCTGTTCTACATACTGAAATATTTTACTTACACAGTTTAGAGGTCCAAATGCCATTTTTCTGGTCTTTTATAAAATCTTTGTAAAAATTTTATTCCTTGCTTGTTACTTTCAGATTTTTATGTTGCTAATATTCACTGAGATTCCTAGTCCAGATTCTGATTGTGTGCATTGTTCAGTCTTTTGTTTGTTTGTTTGTTTTTAACTCATCTAGCTGTCCAGGAATATGTGTGTCCTGCTCAAGGAAGTCATGTAATATGCACCTGCTGCTTTCAGCCAATGCCTGACCGAAGAGCAGAGCGTGAACAGAATCCTCATGTTGCTCCTCAGCAATGTGTGTATTTTCCTTTTTTTTTTTCTTTTTTTAAAAATCTTGGCTACAGAATTAAATCTCTCCTTATTTTTAATTAAACTTAAGTTTACTTTGAAGAGTGTTCTTTATTTGAATATTCTTTATCTAGACTCTTGTAGTGACAGCATGAAAGAATGTTCCTTTATAAAATTTATTATTTCTATAGATAATGTATTTTAAATTAGAAGGTTGTACTTTTTTAACCAAGTTTATCAGTGCTCTATTGTTACTGATTTATATGAACAATAACTGTTTTGTTGTGTGCAGGTCCTTACAGGCATTTTCTTTGTTATTTTACAGGTACAGTTTGTCTGCAACCCTTCTGTCACTTATACTGGGGCTGCACTCGGATGGCGTGTTTTGGCTGTTTGGCACCATTCTGTGGTACTGTGGAATAACCTGTTTCTTATGAGCCTGCTTGTTTTGCAATAATGTCTGTCTGTCTTGACCTTTAGGTAATTTAAGAAATATAATAGATTAGTTTGTAGCACAGTCATGCAAAAGGAAACAAAGGCTGTGTCCTCGCATCACAGTCATAAAAAAAATCCTGAGTGGTATGTGTCTCAACTTTGAGAGGATTTAACTTCTTGTCTTCATATTACATTGGGCTTGAAAACTACACTTGTTGAGCACAATACTTTCCCATATAAGAAGAGTTATGGTGTGTTTCAGCCTAGTAAGGCAATCATACAACACAGCACAGGGGCACTGAACATCTGGTGTTAACTGATTAGAAAAGAACCCTACCCTCTTAAACATGCAGACTTCTGAAACTCGAGGTTTTAGTCATTTTTTAAAAAATAAATTAGAACAGTTGAAATGACTTGGCTGCAGTTTGAAGCTAATGGAATATGCTTTAATAGCACTGTTAATTTGTGCAGATTAGTAGCAGTGCTTGTGGACTAAAGATCAAATTGTAAATTCTCAATGCCGCTGAAAGTTATATATCACATGCTTTAGCATATGTTGAGTGCAGTCATTTACTTGGGGCTCACATGAGTCTGTGCACGTTATTTCAGGAAACAGAAGAACCTTCAGAAAATGCATGAAGGCCATGGGGTTGGAGGCAGAAATAATAACTTTTCTTTCTTGTTCTGATTAGAAATAAATCTTGGTGATAAGTGTTTGGATGGAGTCCTAAATAACAACCACTACGAGTCAGATATCCTAAAGGTGTGTCTAAAAATCACTATGTATGATGCATAATAATAAATGTACCAAGTTTAAGATGTACTTATGAAATGATAGTGATGTGCTTCCTAAGAGTTACAGTGCCAGCATTGTGTCACTTGCAGCACCTGATTCTGAAAGACAAATTTAATGAGCCCCCAACATTCAGCTGGACCAAAGTTACAGTTATTGTGACTAGATTGGAAGTATTTTGGGATGATAATTTGTCTCTTTCAGTCTCTGTGTAAACAGGCATCATATTCTAGAGATGCATTCCATTTAGCATCAATTCTTCCCGTACCACCCAAATTAACAGCAACAAAAATCACTTTTATGCAATCCTGATGTTTAATTTATCCAATGTGTATGTCTGACAGGTGCCAAGAAGACCAAAATTCTCGAGTTAACTTCTGAATTTGAGTTTAAATGACTGAAAGACACAAAGTAGAATCCAGATGTGTTTGGTTGTTAAATTATAAAATAATTTTACTTGTGTGAAGTATTTGTTAGGGAAGCCAGTTTCTGCAGTCTAAAGTGTAACATCCAAAAGATTAATTAAGATAAAAAGTTCATTAAAAAATATACCAGGAAAACAAGACTTTTAAAATATTTTTTTTCCCAGACAAGTTAAATTTCATGCTAGGTTGCATGGAAGATATTTTACTCATACCATTACAGGGTTATCTAAATTAGGGAAATGGGATGAAATCTTGATTTAAAGTAAATGAGAGTGACTGAAATGAATCTGTTTGCATTCTTTTGGCAAAAGTGGGGATCTTATCAAAAAAAGATACTGCATAGAAGGTTTTATTGGTGATCTGAAAGTATCATGCTAATTAAGTTATTTAATTTTTACTTGTAATCAGCATCAACCCATTTTGAAAACCTAGTTAGATCTAGATTTGGAAATATTTGAGCATAAATGGCTTGGTCGTTCTTTAATGTTGGAATTTTTCTAGATTAAACACTTAAAATTGCTCTTTTCAGGATTACCTGGCATCCAGGGGTTTGACATGGAAAAATATGTTAAATGAAAGTCTCTTAGCTCTTCAAAGAGGAGTTTTTATGTTGTCAGGTATGTTATGTTCATTTTTGTACATGTAGAACTCTTTGTCTAGATATAACTCAGTAATATTATCTAGAGGTTTGAAGTTCTGTGTACATAACCAGTGCTGTCGTGACATTTTTGTTTAATCTGATTTCGCAAGCCTTACACTGACATTATGTACAAACTGGTTTTCTCCCCAGATTACAGAATTACTGGCAACACAGTGCTTTGCTACTGTTGTGGCCTTCGCAGCTTTCGAGAACTTGCCTACCAGTACAGGCAGAATATTCCTGTTGCTGAATTGCCAGGTGGGGATTGCTTCGCACAGTAAGGGGAGAAAGTCATGTAAAGAGTTAAAGTTGGTTTTGTCCTTGTATCCTTGGTTTTTTACACCTTCATGTGGCCCAGCGCAAATCTCTTCGCAGGGCTAGCATCTTATGATGATTGCTTTACTTGTCAGCTACTAAGTTTGTATATAGTTATTGTCAGACTTCCTAATGAAATATTTTCTTTGAGTATGATTTCTTATCTGTAGAATAAATATATTCAGTAAAATCCAGAATATAGTGAAAAGGAACTAGTTGCTGTAATTTAATTTATTTTCACATTTAAATACATAAAATGATGCACTTCCTGTATAATTTCACATTTTACCAGCTTTCCACTATAGGAACAAGAACATTTTCATAAATTAATTCTAAATCTGTTTGCATTTACAGTTTTAGTATAAAAGAGCATGCAAGCAACTGTGCCTCCTTCAAGCCCAAATCTGTTGGGTACAGAGGCTGTTCAGACTACTGAAGGCAACAGGCTACTTTTAAATGTTCTTCTGTCCATCTAGTTCCTGTTGTTAGCAACAGCTTCCCTGTCTTTAACTGTTGAGAACTCTGCTTCTGCTGCTGTGCATAACGAGAGACAGTCAATCCACCTTGTTTCTCCTTAGTGTTGCTTTTCGTTTTAGTGTAATGGCCTGCTGGACAGCTGAGTTACGGTGTATGTAAAAGTAGGGGAGAAACAACAAACTCTACCCAAATTAATACATTTTTCTTTTGTATGGAAATGTTTCTAGATATATGCCCAGTGTCTTAAACTCTACAGTCCATCTCTACTAAACTAAATGGTAAAATTTCAGTTGACAGCATTGAGAACCAAATCCTGTTGCCCTAAGTCTGCATGAGCCTAATATTCAGAATAATTTTTTTGTCCTTCATTAAGTGTTTGCTTTCTTTCTAGAAAGGTGAAACAGTATAGTTTACAGTAACTTCTTGTTTCTCTACAAAGCCTCCTCTAATAAGTAACCACCATTAGCAGTGGCTTAATAATCGACATCACCTTATTTAGTGACTTCTGTAATAAATGAAGCATTTAATTTGCTGTTTTTGTAGTGACTGTCACGTCACGTCCTGATTGCTACTGGGGGCGCAACTGTCGAACTCAGGTCAAAGCACATCATGCCATGTAAGTTATACAGTTTAGAAAGTGGCTTTTGGTTTTGTTTCTTTAAAAAAAACCAAACAAACAAAAAAACCAACCTTTGAAGTGCCAGAAGTTGCATGTGTAACACTGTTGCAGCATAAGCAAAACTGGGTGAGCTTCACGGGGTTTTTTTGTCATTTTAACACAACTTTGAAATGAGCCCTTTGTGCATGTCAGAAGGGCACCACTAACACTTGTAAATTGATGTAACCCATTGCTGACACTTCTTGAGTCTTGCTTTGCACTCACAACTTCCCCTTCATTCCTGTTCTTCTCCCACTGAAGCAGCTTCTCATTTGCTCATGTCTGGGTGCTTCTTAAAAACATTGTATATACAATAATTAGCCCTGTGCAATTTCCATTTGAAACTATAAGAGACACTCTTGTATTGAAGTGCAACATACTTGGAAAGGATAAATTGGTGCGAATAATTTGCAATAAGAGAAGCAAAAGAAGTTTGGAATGCGTTAGGAACCTGATGTGGTTTAGAAGTTCCTGGTTTTGTAGGAGTTTTTGGATCTTACACCTCTGACCCAAGCAGTCTGGCATATGGTGAAAATTAAATGCTGAGCCTGAAAAGAGATTAACCCCCTTGTTCTCAAGTGCTTTAGTACATCTAGGGGACATGGACTCCTGGTATCTGGTCGTTCATAAGAAATGTCCATCTGAAATAAATCAAAGTCCTTGATTAAAAAAAATCAAGGGCACTGATAACCAATGCAATTTCATTCTTATGAAAAATTGCAGGTGTGATAAGAAAAATATTAAAGACTTGTAATACAAAACAAAAATTATCCACCTAAGAGCTGACTGGTTCCAGGGGGATAGAAAAATCCTTCTTGCTTTATGACTAATTCTCTAAATTATTAGTTCATTTTAAGATAGAGGAGCTGTTACTCCTTGTTGAGAAATTGCTTTAATGAATAGTTGAGTCTGCAGTAGCTTTCTAATGCTGCAATGAACATACACACTTAGCATAATTCCTCTAATATTTCAGGTACTATGGGTTGAAAATAACCAGTCTGTACAGCTCATGCAAGCAGATCATAAGAAAGACTTGTAAAGTATTAATCCTCAGTCTCTCATAAATTCAGAGGGTTTTACCAAATAGCATTCAAAAATAATTTGGGATTTAAGTTGCAGATGTAATGCAAAGCACCAGTGCTATCTGTAACTTCATGTTACAGGACTGTCTGTGTTCCCAGAGGAGATTTTGTTTTGAAATGTTAGAGAGGTAATTCAGTATCAAAGCAGTCACCAGTCCTCTTTGTTCATATTGTGGTAGATAATTTAATCTAGAATGGAAATTGCTCATGGGTGTTTTTCCTTTTTTAATTCTCCCTTTTTCATTTCTTTTGGTTGTTTCTTTCAAGCATTAGCTGTTCCTAGAACTTTACAGGCTACTGCTCTTAATTCCTAAAATCCATAAAAGCAAACAGTCCTGTCGTACCACTCCTAGATATTCAGTTATGTTTTTTTTTAATTGAGCTAAACTGTTTTGCCAAGTAGTTTGGTTATGTAAGCAAGGTTTCTTTCTAATCTTTGATCTAATTCAGCAAGAGGGAGAAAATTCATGCTCTCTTTTGCATCATCTCTTCCACATGTATATATACACTCAACACTCCAACTCCTGTTTCAGTTATGTATCAGAGGATGCATAACCCAAGTAAGAGAAAAACAAAGAATTAATAGTGAGATGTTTTTGAGAATTGTTAAAAGTGCCTCATACAAAATTGTGTTATGTTTAATTCAGGAAGATGGGCTTGCGTTTCCCCTAAAACCTAAACAATACAGAACAAGGGAAAACTTATCTTTTTCCTTCTGGCAGAAAATTCTAAGCCAGTGAAAGAACATGTTTATGTTGAAATGTGTTATTAGCGTGATTAATTCTAGTTCCTAGTGACTTGTGTAATGCTGTCTACTAAAAATTACTTATGTCTCACAGGGCAAAATTAATTCACTGATTACTGTTTTAATTGCCTTCTGGGTTTGCAGTATTCAGAAGTACAGAGGAATGCTTTTAATAACAGGTTTTCTATATGCATAATAAAACTAACAAAGGTTAGGCAGGAGAGATGTTGAAAATCCTGTTATAGATGACATGGTAGTACTGTGTGATCTAACAGATTCTGAAAAAGATATGTTAGCGTGCGAATGTTCTGCTTTAAACTGTGTAACATTTAAAATACCTTGTGAAAGATGCTGACTCTTGTTGCCTGACTTCTGAGAACTTTGTTACATTTTAATACTGTTTGTTTTTTTTTATTTCAGGAAATTCAATCACATTTGTGAACAAACACGATTCAAGAACTGAATACTTATCGTCTGTAGAGAGGGGACAAAAACCTGTTACACTGCTTGTACAGTTTAAGGTTTCAGGGGATCTTCTCAGTTCCCCCTCAGCAGGGAATTGATAACTTTTGCATCAGGTAATCTGGTGTGAACTTTTTAATTTGTAGAACTTTACAGCTGTACATGAACAAGGTAGATTTTTTTTTTTCCAAGAAAGTCCAGCAAGCATTGCATTCCATCTTCATGACTACAGTGTCCCTGTGTCACTTTAGTGAAGAACACAAACAGAAATCACACACACAAAAACCAGCCATATCTTGGGAAGTCCTAAGAATAAGGAGTGTATTTGCACTACTTGTGAAGAAACGAAGAAAAATCCTTAGACTTAAAATAGAAATGTTTTGTAAAAGTATCTGGTGGATATTTCAAGAGCCATTAATATTTAAGAAGGAAACTGTCGGTGTATATTTGTAACTGCATTTTGTGGTAGTCTGATATTTTGTCGCTACCCATTGCATTTGGGCTAGAAACCATGTTAATATTCACTTTCAAAAAAAAATTCCGTCCATTAAACAGCTGTTTCAACATAAAGCTTCTACCATAAGTGCAGTGTTAGAGTGGAAGTAGTACAGTTTCTTTTCTTAGTTTAGTCATGTTGATGGTTTTATTCACATTAAATTACAAAAATAATTGCACAAAAATTTGAAAATTACATTTAAAGTTGGGGTAATACTTGAAGCAGAACAGATTTCTGCTAATATTACTTCTGTAGTGTTTTATATCAGAAGACCAAACAGTGCTTTTGACATAGAGCAGCCAGTAGGACACACTGGTTCTTTTTTTTTTTAATTTCTTTTTTGGTTTGATGCCATGTACTAAATATGTACCTCTGCCATGCAGCTGTTCTCCAGCGTGCATACACTGGTGAAAATATAGAAAAAGCTATAATTTGAAACAGAATATAGCAGCTTTTCTGGAAGGAACAATCTTACAGAGAATAATTCAGTTTGGGCAAATTGTAGCAATATGGAGGCATTTCTGGGTAGCGATTGGGATGATGAAGGGGAACACTAGTGTCACTGACACAAAAAACTTAATTCATTAACTAACTCATTCAGGAAATGTTCCAAGCATCATTTAAAAAAAAATCCCAACATAAGCCACTCCCTCTGCCCCACCACTCCCATGATATGGGTCATATGATCTGATCTTTTTCATCATCATCTGATAGCTAATGTTGGCAAACTTCAACTGGGACCAATTTTTCATTTTCATCATACCTAGAAGAGTGAAACAGAATGAGGAGAAAGCATACAAAGTTACCTCTGTAGATACCATGTTGTTTTTAAGTATGCCTTATTTTATGAGCTGGATTTATACTTTGATGTTAAAAAGTGTACACACAATCTCTTGTGACATAATGGAGCACAAATGATGCAGCACATCGTGTTTATTGGTTTCAATGAATTAAGAAACTATTTCCAGTAATGCACATGTTAATATGAATGCTAATTAGAATTATGCATTTCTGTTTAGATTTTTATTTTTTAAAATAGCTGTCGCAAGGATGGGTCTGTTGACCATGCCCGTATGCTATTAAAGATACACTTTGGTGTGGACTTCTTCCTAATCTCTGGGCATTTTCTCCTGTGAGTAGGATTGAAATTGGATCTGGAATAATACTTGAAACTTCTTTTAACAACATCAGTGTGTTTCTGTCTTTTAGTATTATTAACAATGTTCTGATGCTTCTGTATTTGTATTTTATGTTTAGATTTTTAATGGTTATTGTATCTTCTCAGGACAACCATTCCCAGCTAGTTTTGATCTCATTTTCATCTCTGGCTGTGCATGTAGCAAACTGAGTGCAGTTGTGGAGATCAAGCCTTTGCACATTATATGCAGAAGTGTGCTTAGCATTCTCATTCACCACTTCCCACACCCCAGATGTTCTTTCAGCCTAGGCTTGTCACTGTGCTAGCGTTCAAGCCTCTTGTGCTGAATTTTTTTTGTTGGTCAACAATAATGTGTCTGCAGTACTACGTACAACCTCGCTTGCACTTACTCAAGTTATGTTTGTATAGGGATGTGTAATGTGACTTTAAGAAAAAAAAAATCAGGAAAAAAACCCCCAAACAACAAAACTCATGTACTTAACATCTAAACTACCTGTGCAGTAGAGGTTCTTCAAATTCCTTTTATAAACCCCTCTTCCTTTTCCCTGTTACAGATAATTAATCTGCCTTTCTATGCATGTAGGGTTGCACTAGTGCAATGGAATGAAGGGAATTTTTTTGTCATTTATATTGTACAAGGAAGAGATGAGAAATTAACTTGCAGATGGGGAGGGTGAATAAATCCTGATCTTTATATGCTCTTAAGTAAGTAAGAGTATCTGTCATGGGTATTACATACTCTATACATTAGACCTTTTAAAATGTATGGTTACCAGGTGATAGTTAATGTGATAAATGTATGAACTATGCTTGGTGTAATACTGTAAAGGTGCAGCATATTTTTAACCTGTCTAAAGCACACCCCCACCTCCTTTATAAGAGATATTTGGAAGCTGAGCATGAAACGTGGTAGAATAGATGTTGTGGAAACTGCGGTGATTATGATAGGGTTTGACATAGTGGTGAACAAAGTGTATAGTCTCTCTCTTTGAGAAGGTTCTTTTATAAAGAAGGTGGAGAGTAGTTCTTCCAGTTCTCTTTTGTGATTTTTTTTTTCCTGAACTAAGAAATTATTAATTAAAAAAACCAAAACAAAAGATACTCACTGAAGTTGTCTGTTTCTTCTGTAGCGTATTCTCTCACCACAGAAACGGATGTATGCAACACTTGCTAATGCTTGGTCAAGCTATTAGTTATTTGAATGTTGAGATTTTATAACTAAATATCATCGTTGAGCTCGTACTAACCGAAGATGACATGAGTTTTTGTGTAATTCCAAGAAATTATCTCAAATTTTCTTAGAAGTGTCAGGTGATATCACAAAGGCTCATCAGTATCTCAGCAGAGTTTATAATCAATTATATAAGCAAAAAACTAATAAATAGAATTCATTTTTTGTCAACAAGATGAAGTCAAGATGCTAGTGAATAAAGCTGACTACTTCTTAAAAAGTGGATACTATTTTAATTTCTTGTAACATCATCAACACTGAGGTGACTAGCATTGTAACACCATTGATTTAACAGCAGGATAGAGAAAGTGATTGTTGCATTGTGTTCATTTTTACGGTGACCTAATTTGTATAAATTATAAGATTTCAAATGGCTACTATTAATAGAACTTTTTCTGAATAGAACTTTTCCCTTGCAGAGTAAATAGGAGGACTTGTCTGCTCCCCATTCTATCTGATGTGCGAGACAGTGATGCCAGAGTTCTTAAGCTTCAAACTGCAGCTTAGCATCCTACAATTTTTGCGCTGCTGCCATTCCGACAGTTGAAGCTGGATATCCTTTAATGTTGTAGCTGATCTATATTGCTGTTCTTAAACCAGCTGTCATTTGTTCTTCAGACTAAATTTAAGAGAAATTCAAACTCATGGTTAAGTAATGTAAAAGTGAAAATGTCGTGTTGTTTTGGATGCCATAAAGACAAGCTGATAGACCTTAAGACTTCTAATGGTTTTGGCTTGCCCTGCCCTTACATTAGTGAATTTAAGTGTTTTGCATTCCATTATGTCAACAAATGACTTGCAACTAATTTAGTTTGAGGAAGCCATCCATTTTGTATCAATTTGTAGTGTTCAGTAGAGCTGTGTAGTGCAGATGGCTTAGCCTGCAGCAAGAGCTTAGGGAAATAAGTTGATTCAAGTAAAAGGAGTTGAGCATTTGAGAAGAGAATACTCAATTCTAAACTATGCTCTGAAAATCTGTTTTCGTATGGCCTCTTTGAAATTTCTGATGGTAGGGGGCCTTATTTTTTACAGCCTGCCCTCTAAAAATAAACCAACAGTCACTTTGTTACTGGAAGTTAGGAGAAGGATCTCGATTTTTAAAAGCATGTGTGGGGAGTTTGCATTTTTTCCACCTATTTTATCTAACGTTCTTTCTGCATGATGTTTGGGAGCTGAAATAGCACTTACACAATTCCAAGGAATAACTTCTGAAGAAAACTAATTATACTGTTTCCCACAGCAATGCTTAATATGCAAAGATTGCTTCTAAATCTGCTTTTCAGGTCATCCTTCTTTTCTTTACACTTCACCATTTTGACTTTCAATGAGGTAATTTCACCCTTAAGCTCATTAGTTTCCATAGGAAATGAATTATAAAAAATGCTAAGTGTGCCATATGAGGTTTAACATCAAAGACATCTCTAGACAGACCATGAATATATGTTGAAGCTGTATTTGGTCTCTGTTGGGTATTCTTTTCAGTGCTGCTGAGTTTCAGTTGCTTGCTTTCATTAGGTAAGTGTTGGCTTAGGACTGATCTTTTTTTCCTTGCAATCCAAATTAATCTTTAATTGTTTAGAACAAAATCTAGTAACTGACTGGACTGTTTGAGGCAAATGTGTTTTGTTGTGGCTCATGTGCCCTTCTCATGGAAAAAAAACCAAAACCCAAACAGTTCTGAGTAGGATGCTTTGTAACCAACTGCTCTTAAAGAAAAGTTAGATTTCTGAAAGGAAACCTCAGTTCCTCTTTCTGCTAAGAAGTTATAAATGGATTTTTCTTGCTGCATGCTACTCTGAATCCTCAAAGTTAAAACATTTTTTCCCATGCAATTGTGATTGAAATTATTTTCCTTCTCTTCAGCAAGTCTTTAGCATGCTTATCCCATTTGCTGCTTAGTTACATTATCCAAAGTAGCACAGCAAACTGCCTTACCACAGAGGTAAAACTGAATCCTGAGTCTGTGCATGACTTGTGAGGTTTTCTGTCATTAGAAAGTGGCAGCATAGCTCTCGGAAATAATATAGCTGTTATGAACAAAATCAGTGCTGGAAGCAGTACCATTTTAAAAACTAATCCTAGTCAATATTTACAGCTGAGAGTATTAGAGCACTTTATTCCCTGTGGAGTGTTCAGAATTTCTTAAACTTGCACTATGATTTTTTTTTTTTTTTTTGGAGAGTATGGGTGGAAGCTGTTTCTGGGGGGAAAAAAGGAGAATTTCAAAACAGTTCCTTTAGCTTTAAGAGGAACAAAATATTTTATAAATTATTTGAAGGTACAAATTAAAACACAAATACCTCTTTATCAGTTAACTTTAGTGATCTGCCTACAAAAAAAGGAACTTTGAAAGCCAAGTCAG